GGCAACAGCACCCTTCCAAACTTCCCCTACTTCCTGGTGCCTATTTGTCCCACCACAGCCCAGCAAGAGGTGCTTTTGCAGCACTGCTGGGTTGAACCCCTCCAGATGTTGGGATGTAGCAGCTTTTCTCATGGCAAGACAAGGGGGCTTGGTCTTAAGCTCTGCCAGGGGAGGTTTAGGTTGGATATTAGGAAGAAATTCTTTACAGAGAGGGTAACCAGCCATTGGAATGGGCTGCCCAGGGAGGAGGTGGATTCTCCATCCCTGGAGGTGTTTGAGGACAGACTGGATGTGGCATCAGTGCCATGGGCTGGGAACCACAGCGGGGTTGGATCAAGGGTTGGACTTGATGATCTCCAAGGTCTTTTCCAACTCAGCTGATTCTATGGTTCCATGATTAATAAGAAGGGTTGACCCAGGTGTGCTAAAAAGATGAATCCAACTTCCCTTCCTCGTTCCTTCCTGGAGCAACTTCAGACAGAAGGGGTCTCACTGCCGGTGTCCCAGGAGGTCTCGCGTTACACTCTCACTCTTTCTCTCTCACACCTGACCCTCGCTGCTCTGTCTCCAACAGGCCTGTCTGGAGCCGGCAAGACAACCATTGGCTTTGCCCTGGAAGAGTACCTGGTCTCCCATGGCATCCCTTGCTATTCCCTGGACGGCGACAACGTCCGGCACGGCTTGAACAAGAACCTGGGTTTCTCGGCGTCGGACCGCGAGGAGAACATCCGGCGCATCGCCGAGGTCGCCCGGCTCTTCGCCGACGCGGGGCTCGTCTGCATCACCAGCTTCATTTCTCCTTTCACCAAGGTACCCCCCCGCAGCACGGCCTGCCCTGCCCTGCCCTCCACCTCGGGGTCGTTCCTGGGGAAGGGGGGTTTGCACAGGGCGCTTCCCAAACGGTGCTTCTGCCCACTGCTGCTCTCTTCCTTCATCAGACGACTGCGCGCCATCGGTTTTAGGGGGGTGGTTTAACGTGACCTCCTTGAAGGTATTCCGTGGTACAGATGGATGAAGAGCTAAGAGGGGTTTAAAATGTCCCTGCAGAAGGCAGAAAAGAGGCACAGAAGCAATAGCCTATCCTAGAGAGAGCTATCTCTGCTCATTTGGAATAAGATGTGATCGTGGGGTTTTTTGCTTCCTGAGAGGACTGAGTAGCTGCTGTTATCAAGCTGCTGCAAGCAGTTCCTTTTTTCACAGAACCACAGAATCATTAGAGGTTGGAAAAGACCTCTAAGATCATCAAGTCCAGCTGTTTTTTGGCACAGGGCAGATAATTATTCACAATCTGAAGTTCTGCTGTCCTGCTTCATGAAAAGATCTTGAGGTTTTGGATGGAAAAAGCTGAAAACAGAACGAGCTCGTAGATTTGTACAATTTTTTTTTTCAAGTATCTTTAAAGAAAAGGAGGGAAGGGAGATGAAAAACCCTTATCAGAATTAGTGTAAATTTAATAAATCTATAGCAGAGACACATTTGCCTGTGTCAAATTCCAGGACACATCATGTAGCAGGAAGGTGATGCTGCAGTTTGGACACACAGGATTTTCCCATCTCTCTTCTAACAGGATCGTCAAAATGCACGGAAAATTCACGAGGCAGCTGGACTTCCTTTCTTTGAAATCTTTGTAGATGCTCCTTTAAATATCTGTGAAAGCAGAGATGTGAAGGGCCTGTACAAAAAGGCAAGAGCTGGAGAGATCAAAGGTATGGGGGAGCGAGGTCTTATTTTGCCTTTACTTTCCAAAGCATTGAACACCTCGTTGCACGTAGAGGTGGGTTTCTAAAGGCTCTTTGTGGAGCACAAGAGGATCCTGTTTCCCTAATCTTGCTGTCACAAGTGTCACTTGTCATACCCAGCATGGTTGAATGCCTGCTGGTTGTTTGTACAGCGCTGTTGGCTCTGGGGCGCCGAGTATTATATGAAATAAATTGAATTTGGGGTTTAATTGTCCGCAGGATTCACAGGGATTGACTCAGAGTACGAGAAGCCTGAAGCTCCTGAACTAGTGTTGAAAACGAACGTTGCATCAGTGTCTGAATGTATCCAGCAGGTTGTGGAGCTCCTCCAAGCACAGGTAGGTCGTTTTTATGCCACCGTCACCAGCAGATTTGGAATCCTGCTTTGGGACATGGGCTTTTTGATGTGCACATAAAACCCAGTGTGTTTCTTACAAGTGCTGTCTCTTCTCTGTCTTTCAGAATATCGTTCCCTGGGGCTCAATTAAGGACGTTCTTGAGCTGTTTGTGCCTGAAAATAAGCTCAGCAGTGTCCGAGCTGAGGCAGAGAAGCTGCCATCCGTGGAGATCACTAAGGTACTGTCAGGGGTTCTGTCATTCTTTAGCTGTTCCACAGGTAGAGGCTTCCAGGAGAGTGTTGCCAGAGGGGCCTGTGTTCCTGTGATGGCCATGTCCCTTTCTGGCTGTGGGTTGTGGTGAGCTGAGGTGTGATCCTGACCCTCAGCTGTTTTCTGCTGTGTCTCCGCCCTGTGCTGGTGGAAGTCTGGACTGTCAGCCCCCTTTGTTGTGTTAATACAGCCCCACAAGCTCACACTGACAGGTTGGATATGAGGAAGAAATCCTTTCCTGTGAGGGTGGGGAGGCCCTGGCACAGGTTGCCCAGAGAAGCTGTGGCTGCCCCATCCCTGGGAGTGTCCAAGGCCAGGTTGGACGGGGCTTG